AAAATAAAATGAAGTCTACCTGGGGATTATCATATTAAGTGATGTAAATCAGGAGGAGAAAGACAAATATCACATGATATCAGTTATATGTCGAAACTGAAAAAAAAATAGAACTTATTTACAAACCAGAAACAGACTCACAGACATAGCATACAAACTACAGTTACCAAAGGGGAAAGGGGGAAGGATAAATTAGGAGTTCGGGATTAGCAGATACCAACTACTGTATATAAAATCGATGAGCAGCAAGGTCCCACTATACAGCACAGGGAACTGTATTCAGTATCGTGTAATAACCTACGATGGAAAGAATCTGAAAAAGAACACATATATTCTTTTATGTAGATACACACCTGAAACTAACACAACACTGTAAATCAACTATACTTCAGTTTAATTTTTTTTTATTTCATGCTGCCAATACATATGTATTTATGTGTCTGAATATGTGCAAAGTTTCATTCTGCCAATATGTCCCTGATCCAGGGAGAATTTTTAAAATAAAATAAAATAAAATAAAATAAGTCTATTGATTTAAAAGTCACTGTTAGAATTCCTTTCACCTAAAAAGGAGGACGAAAATAGCAAAAAATGCCCAAAGTTCAATCCACCTTCACCGACTTGCTGCAGACCCAGGAAACCTGGGAACCCAAAGCGGGCCCAAAGGGCCTGGGATTTTTCGGGGCTGCAGCCGAACCCCAGCGCACACTGTTGACAAACCCCCAGGTGAGAGCGGCTTGGCTGTGAAGAGACTGAAGCCTGACGCAGTAACAACGTGCACAGTTCACAAACTGAGCGAGAGACAAGCCTCCCCAACCTGTGGCTTTCCCCTGCTCTTCCAGCAACGCCCGATTCGGAGCCCAGACTTTTCAAAGGAAGGTCCACGGGCAGCACCCGGTCACCGAGGAGGCCGGGTCTCCACCCGAATCTTGAGTCACAAAACTGCACGAAGATCACCTAACGGGAAGCGCTCTGCAGCCCGGCGAGCCCCGGGGCGGCAGGGCGCACTGTGCCCACCGCCCACTCGCGTGAGAAAACGGCCTGGGGGCCGAAGCGGTCTGACGG